GGAGGGAGGGGATGAGGCTTTGTGCTGTGTGTTTTGTGTTAGGAGACCAATCAGGAGCTCTGGCTGTGGATTGACACAGATATTTATGGGACATAATTGATGCATCCTCTAAGCCCAGTGCCAGTAATCTAGCTGAGCATGTCCAGTAAGAGATTATTTGGTTATGCAGAGTGAGGAAAAGGAATGAAATATGAGATGCAAAATGCAGTTGATAGACAAGATTCTTAAAACATCAAACCTCTGTGGGAGGGAGCTGGTTGTAGCTAAAAGGGCAGAAAAAGGAGTCCTGGGGAGCAGAAAGATTGAAAATATTACTTGCAAGTCCCTTTCCAATACTAATATTCTATGAGGCTATGATTGCATTTTCACGGAGGGGTTCCAGTTGCTACCACAGGCAATCAAGAGCCCAAAAGCTGTTTTTCTAAGAATGAAGTGGTGGCTAGAAGGAATTTAAAAGCAGAAATGAGTATGTCTGTGAGTGTGTAGGGGGGAGGGGAGAAGAAAATGAAGCAGAACCACAAGCAAGTAGAAAACACACAATTACTGTAGCTCTTTTTCCTAGAGGAAATATAGAACTTGACACTAGAAATATTTCACATTCAGTGCCATAGATTAAAACAGAATAAGATGTCATTCTAAATAGTTATGATTTTTAAAAAGGAAAGAACACAGCAGAGAAAAAAGGAAAGAAAAATGGCATAGGACATGTATACCATATACAGAGTATCCTCCCAAAATTGTATACAAACTTTGAATATTTATTAATTTCAATGGGTTAAATCTGAAAAGAAATAAACATCAATTGAGCTATTAGTTAAGTGTGTATACATTTCTGGGACGATATATATATATTTATATATATTTACCTTTTACTTCATAAATATAAAATGCACATTACATATAAATGACAAAAGGATATAGATATTGCAGGTGGTTTGTGGGAAGAACAAGAAATTTTCTGGATTGTTGGGATTGCAGGAGTGGGGAGAGGTATCAATATTTAACATATTGGCATGGCCCTGATGTCCCAGCATCATAAGAAAGAGAAATCAATGTATGCCCCACTCCCCACTGCTGTTCTCCCCTCCTCCCTTGTCCTCACAGGTCTGAACAAGGAGCATCTCATGCAGAATTTCTACCTGCTGGACTCCTCTAAGATACCTCACTTTTGACAGACAGCAAAGAAGCCGACTTTGTGCGGCCACCCAGAATGCTGGCTGGAGGCTGGAAAAACAGTCCTGTTTGATTTGTCAGCTGGGACAGTGAGAGAGGTGTGGGCATGAGCACCATTTCTTCATGTTTCGCTGTAGGGAAGTGGACAGCAGTTGGCCTTCCTGTAGGGCAGCACTCCTGAATCTTAAGGGCCCATGGACTTCTAGAAGGTCTGCATGACATTTGATGCAAAATGTTCACGTGGGGGTGGAAGATCCACATGGATTCTCAAAGGGGGTTGATGACTCCAAGAGAGGTGAGGACAGTGGCATGGAGCATGTCAGACAACCCTGGTCCTCACCATGTCCCAGGCCCTACGTGGTGTCCGCTGAACACCTCCTACTGAATCCTCCCAGGGGACTACAATGAAGAGCTGAGCCCAGACTTGACACTAGTGGGTTTGGTGAGTGAATCCATGCAACAGCCCATGCTGAACGGTCCAATCCCATCTCTTAACTCTTCATTCTTTTTCTTTTTTTAGTATATTTTTATTGATTTCAGAGTAAGGGAAAGGGAGAGAGAGATAGAAACATCATTGATGAGAGAGAATCATGGATTGTCAGCTACCTGCACGCCCCACACCAGGGATGGGGCCCACAACCTGGGCACGCGCCCTGACCGGGAATCGAACCACGACCCCTCATCATTGATGTTTCTAGATCACCCTCTCCTTTCCTCTCTGAAATCAATAAAAATAAAAAAAATACATATATATATTTCAAAATAACTGCAGGAGGAGGCATGAGTGTGTCTGAGTTTAGGTGAGGGTGGGGCGAGGGCCAGGGAAGTGCTGTGTACGTTGCACCCTCAGGGCTGACAAGGTATTAACAGGCTGTTGGGGAGGAGGAGGGCTGCTCTGAGGCAGAAGGAAAAGGCAAGGAGAGCAGCAGCATGGTGAAGCCTCAGAGGCAGACATTCAGATCTCCATCCTTCTCGTCTTCCACCTCCCTCTGTGCCTTTGGGCTCTTTCTTCTGCATCATAAAGCAAAAACTTAAACCTATATGTTCCCCCCCCCCCCCCGCCCCCCCCCCTTGGAATGTGTTGTGGAGATATCCTGGAGCAGAAGGGCCTCCCAACCTAGACTCCCGCTCTCCCCGCCTCACGGAGACATAGAGTCAGCAAGTTAAACATTATTTCTGAAAATGTACTGACTCCTAAGTGACTTTTAGTCACCCTCATTTTACCAAAAATGAATTTAGATCCTTTCTTGAAGGAGGGAATGGATATAAAAAGGGGCAAGAATGGGGGGGAAAACTGACCTAGTTCAGTGGTCGGCAAACCGTGGCTCGTGAGCCACATGCGGCTCTTTGGCCCCTTTGCTGGGGTCCAACCCCAGCGGGTCCAGGGGTCCCCAAAGGTGTGGACGGAGTCGGCGAAGAAGGAATGACACGGAGACAGCCTTCAGTTGATCAGCAGCCTAGCCAGGATCTCCAGCCAAGTTCTGGGTCAGGATCTGTCCAGCGAAGTTCTGGTTAGGATCTCCAGCCAGGTTCTGTTGCCATGTTCTCTCGCTAGGTTCTCTAGCCAGGTTCAGTCACCAGGTTCTCTTGCCATGTTCTGTCTAGGATCTTTTGCCATGTTCTCTCGCTAGGTTCTGTCTCTAGGTTCTCTGTCCTATTGTCTTGTTACATCTGTATTTATACCAGTTGATTTTAATCCTGTCAATTTTCATTCCAAAGGTTAGGGCATTTCTTATCTCCATTCCAGGGAGTAAAGATTATGTAGCTTAAGCATGATTGTTCATAGTTAAAATGATTAACTACCCGCCTGGCACTTAGTTAAGAGGTTTTATTCCCTCCCTAACTTCAGGGAAAAAT